AAACATAACTCTTCAGTCATCACTCCTGTGGTCACTTCCACTATAATGATCTTTGGGTAGCATCTAGGGTCTCTTTTGAAGATAATAAACTATTCTTAGAAATTCACCTGCAGCTTAATATTCCCATATAGTTTGTAGCTAGGAATCACTGTACCCCATTGATTTATCATTCCACTCCATAACTGACACACCAATTATGTCAATCAAATATATCTACTGGAAGCTAGAAGTCTACATAAAACTTAATCATCCTGACTATTAATGTATAATTAGAAAAAAAAATCCTCTGTAAAAGGCTTAAGAACATCTATTGCTAAATAGTCACATACTATTTTCAAGACTAAAGCCTTGCTAACTATAAAAAAACACATTTACTCTAAAAATTATTTTGCATTTTCACTGAATTGTCTTTTTTTTTTTTTCCTCCCAATAGGTCTAGAAATTAGTTCACTGCTGCAAAAAGAAAAATACAGAAAGGGCAGCCATAAGTATCTTAGGTAGATAAGACCATTTGTTATCACTTACATTTTTATATGATTCTCTTAAAGTATAACAGATGGTGGAAATGTTTATCCAGGCTAAAAAGATTTTGTTTAAAAAAGTAGCACTATTTGATTTTATCAAATGCATTTTCTGTGCATGAAGAGATTACAAAGCATCCTAGCCGCTGAATTTTTGAAATCTCTTTGACATAAAATAATCTTCCAATATTACAAAAGTCCTGAGTGGAGTCAAAGCCAGTTAAATAGAATTGGATTATGCAGAAAAAGATGCATAGTATGTTAACTTATAAGCAAATCTTCTGGATGATATTGCAAAATGTAATAAAACTTAAAAGATAGAAGGATTTTTACTTTTTTACCATAAAAGAAAGAAATGTTTTCTGAAGTAACAAGCAGAAATAATCACAGTTGCCAGTGAATTATTACATCCTTTAACTATGGGATTTTATCCCTGACAATATGCATTTTTACAAAGGTTGATCTGGTGCAAATAATGTGACTGCTGGCAAATAGCTGTAACCTACAGGAGGTAGATTGAATTCACGGGCTTCCAGCAGCAGAAATATTGGAACCTAAAGAAGCGTTTTAAGGGATCTTTACATTCCTTTTCTATGATGCAATAATTAGAGTACTGTATTTCAGTTTCAAAGACCCTTTCAGGGATTTATTGATGGAATTATTCTTGAAATATAGGCAGACTATAAAAAGGAGGCTTCTGAGAGTGTCAAAATAATCCTAGGATTGTCATGGCAACTTCCCAAATTGGTCTTCTCTGGTGGATGGATTTGCACTTAACGGATCCCTTCCACAAGATGTTTCCACTAATTCATGTACAACAAGCCCCTTCGGGTCTGACACCTCAGAATTCTTTGTGCTACCTGCTTCGGCACTGTTTTTTAAGGCAGTGTGTAATGTATTGTGACAGACCCAGACCAGTGGGGTACAGGAGTCTGGTAGAGGGCAAATATACTGGTCACTGGATGAGTAGTTTTCTGTTCCCTGAGTGACCAGAGCAGGGGCTGCACTAGAGTAATTAGGAACCTGCTAGAACCAGTTAAGGCAGGCAGGCTAATTAGGACACCTGGAGCCAATTAAGAAGAAGCTGCTAGAATCAATTAAGGCAAGCTAATCAGGGCACCTGGGTTTTAAAAAGCTCACTTCAGTTTGTGGTGCAAGTGTGAGGAGCTGGGAGCAAGAGGTGCAAGGAGCAGAGAGGGAGAGGGTGTGCTGCTGGAGGACTGAGGAGCACAAGCGTTATCAGACACCAGGAGGAAGGTGTTTGGAGGAGGCCATGGGGAAGTAGCCCAGGGAGTTATAGCTCTCATACAGCTTACAGTACCTCTTACAGGAGGTACTATAAACAGCTGCAGTCCACAGGGTCCTGGGCTGGAACCCGGAGTAGAGGGCGGTCCCGGGTTCCCTCCAAACCTCCCAATTGACCTGGACTGTGGGTTCTTCCAGAGGGGAAGGTCTCTGGGCTGTTCCCCAAACCACATGCTGAATCTCTGAGGCAAGAAAATCTGCCAATAAGCGCAGGACCCACCAAGATAGAGGAGGAACTTTGTCACAGTATGTAAATGATAGTGAGATATCTTTGATTATTAATGATACCTTCTGAAGACAACTGAATAAAAATCAGGACATCATACCGGAAAAAGAGGTGATATAAATAGGGGTGGTGGATGGCAAGAGGAAGAGAAATATAACAGCAGGCAGAGGAGGAAGTCAAATACCTAGAATATCGATAGGGGACAAGCTGAGTGAGAATCTTTTATTGGACCAGCTTCTTTTGGTGAGAGGGACAAGCTTTTGAGCCACACAGGGCTCTTTGGGTCTGGGAAAGGTAACGTAAGTTGGCACCAGACCTTGCCAGAACAACAGATGCG